CGCCGCTGATAAAACGCGAAACGAGAAGCTGGTACGGAAAAATGGTGAATAACAGACGCCGAACGAAGAGAGGGAAGAGAGGGAAGATAGGGTGGCGAGCGTGCCACGTACGAGAAAAAGAGACGAAACGAGTGGTTGACACGGACAGGAACGACTCGCACACTTTTCACGCGGGTCGGCCGGTGACGTCACCGTTCATTCAGTAATTTTTGCGCACGTCACCGGGGCTGACACACCGGATCCAGGTGGTTCCAGGAGGGGTTGGAGCGGGCTGGTGGTGGGGACGGAAAAAATAGGGGAAAAAGAACGCCCGCCGGTAGGCAACCCCCACACGCCACATGGATATCCAACCCCTACGCACGTAACAACCGCGTGTCAAAGTGCACGTGGCACGTTACCACGTTGTTCTGTCAGTGGCAGGCCAGGATAGCGCCGTCAGATACCGAGCAGGATTCGGTAATCGTTCAGACACTCCGGCGCCGCTCCTAATCAGCCACTTGTCATCGGAACGTGTCGCGGATCACCAGGCCATCGGACACGATAACGAGCGATAGGCGCCTGATTATTCGCGGATTTCCACTCCTTAGCTGAACACACGAAGGCAACGCGTCTTCGCTTCGTACGTCGTAGGTAATTAGCATAATTCGCTTTATCAATGCGGATTTTTTGGAGAAACTCGTATGCAAAATCTTTCGGTCGGACTAGAGATACGAAGTTGTTTCACAAACGTTTGAGACAAAAGTCTTCAGATCCAGTCTGATTAAAGCATTCGGTTTAAAGCAATTGAAGCAATCGGTTAGAGTCGTCAATGTGAATTCTCGAGAGAGACTTTCGTCGAAGATTGTCGGTGTTTGAGAGGATGGTGATTAGATCAATAAAGTATGGAGCTGTTTGACGAAAGTTTGAGACGGAGTCTTCTGTTTTAGGAGTCTACGGATGTAGATTAGAATAATTGTCATTGTCAAAGTTGATTTTTGAGGGGAACTGTTGTCGAAGAATACCAATGTTTGATAAGATGGCAATTAGATTAGAGGTATGCAATTGTTTGATAAGAGTTTGAAGGCTGAGGAATTCCGTGTGTAAATAATCAGACCGATGTACTTTGTTGATGTAGATCTTTGAAAGAAACGTTCGTACTTCTTCGAAGACTTCTTCAAAGAGTCTTTTGACTCGAAGATGACGATTAGAGATTATGATAGCACGATGCTAATGAAGATAGAGGGGAGAAGAATCTTACGACCCTCCTGAAAGAACGACACGGCGACGGATAAGATTCTCGCTTAACTTCGCATTCAAATCTCTTGCTGGGCTACTCTCGTGTTTCCACTTCCGGAGAAAATATTTCCATCGATTCTTGAAAGTATCACGGTAATATCATTCGCACTAATTGCGAAGCTTGTTATATTGCTAAGACGATTTTTGACGTTTCTTCTTAAATCCATGACACATCCGAGCATCGAGGAAGAAGAATCTTCCTTCGTGGAGAATTCGAAAGATGCTTCGAAAAAGCGAGAAGAAATTCTTGATTAAATTCTTCGGCATATTCATGGACCTAATCACCAAGTAATACAAGTTCCATTGAAAGAATCGCACTCACTGTCTGGCCGTGTTCACCGCAGCAACCGACGGACTATCACAATCTTCACCGCAACAAAACCTCACTCTCATGGACCCTTCGATTTCCACAGCAAAGCTTCCATCCACCACAATCTTCTCTACTGTCATCGGTCCAGCATAAACGAGATACAAGTTCACGACGTGTTATTGTCAACCTGCAATCTCTCTATCCACCAAACGATGTACACCAAAATCCCACCAAAGAAACCGATGTAATTCAGCACACTTCAACTCTAAACAATTTTCATCTTCAGAGCGTCTGAAAATCCGCAAAGTTTCCGAATGTTCGAAGAATATCTTGGAATGTTCCAGTGACACGAGGGATTCCGAGATAGCTGGCGGAGAATCCGGGAAGGCTGGCGTGTTTTGGTAGTCACAGTCGTCTCTGAAAATACCCGTCGGGGCCACTAACTATAATTTCGGCGGTTCGTGTGAGGCAACAGCCGTTGACGCACTGGTCCATGCCAACACACGCAGCATCCCTTTCCCCTTTCCTGGTTCCTCTCACACCCCGTGAGCAACCCCACTCCTTCCGCGAGCGTTCGTCTCCGTTCGTCGCACAAGCGTATCCTCTCTTTCTCTTCCACTGGCTCTTTTCGTCTCACATTCTCTGGCTGGCTTGGCCCTCTTTCTCTTTCTCCTCCGTTGCTCTTTATCGCTTTATCTCCCACCGGACCCCTAACCCTCTCTCTAACCTCTATCCTTCTCTTTCTCATACTCACGGCCCTCTCTTTCCCACCCCTTTCGTTTCGACCCTTTTGCGGTGTGGCTCGCGTGCGT